TCTTTACATCTCTCGTCGATGAATCGCGCAATGGTGGCTCTGTGCTCGTTAATCGTGGAACTTTTCATTCGCCTGTGTTTGCGAATAAATTTAATCATTGCCAAAGGGTGAGGGAACGAATAAAGGGAAGAATTTTCAGGGAATAAGAGAATAACTCAGTGGCGGGTTTCTAACGGTCGCGAATGCATAAATTTCATGAGCGACTGCCTCGAATAAATTGGCTAACCCACTGAACGATACAGTTCACTGAATAATTATATTTTATCTAACGCGGAGAGGGTGAGTCTGAATTAAATATCTTGAACGATCCATATATCAATCGATTTTTCTTCGAGTCGTAATAAATTTTAGCGTGTTTCTGTTCTTTTTCTTTTTTATTCTATCGAATGTCTTGAAATAATTTATCAAAAATGTAGAGTTATTTGATTGATCATTTAGAAATTTAAAAATATCAGATTAGAGGGATTATTTTTTGGGATTCTTTTTGCGAAGAAAAATAATTTGTAATTATAGATTATTTGTAATGCGTTTTGAATAAACATTGTGTACGTTGTAAGATTAATAGGAATATTATTTTCGAATTTTTTTGGCGAAATTTTTTCGTTTCGAAGTATTTCACGCGTTTATAACGTGTATACATGTTTAAAATGTTTCAAAATATTTTACGTGTGTTTGTTTACTCATGCATGCGCGGAATTTAAACTCGGGAATAATTCAAATTGTTCTTCTTTCGAGGAAAAATTTTTCTGTTTTTCGATTGCATTATGTATGAAGTTCGAGCAAGCAAGTATAAATTGGAATATTAGGAGGAATAGAAAGGGAAACAGTATTGATTCTCGATACGATTTCTTTTTAGAAAAATAAATTTCGTAAATCTTTAAAATAAATAATACGATTATTTTTAATGATTATTAAATAATATATAGTTTCTTTCATCTAATTTTCCTATCAAGTTTCCCTATTTTCATCTCGTAAATTTTCTATCGTTGATGAATTTCATTCTTTTAAATTCATCTTTCAGAAAAACCGCACCTTCGGGCAAAATGTGATTATTTATTAATTATGCATTTTACGAAAATTTTAAAACTGCAAAAATGTATAGAAACTGAACAGTATATAAAATATATAAAATAAAGTATTAGTTATAATATTTACTAAAAAAAAATGAATATATAAATAATTCAATAAATTATTACTCAATATGCAGTGATTGCAAAAATAAGATACAAAATTTGTATTAATATAAAATTTTTATAATGAAAATTGCTATTATTAAATTATATTATTTATACATTAATATAAAATTCAATTCACCTATTCACGATATCAAAATCTTTTTGTAACCATCCATCTGTCTTCTTTCATTCAATTCAAAAAGATCACAATC